CCTTTGTACTTATCTACTGTACACTTACTCCTCCCAAAGGTTCAGTGTTTTTATCCTGACAATTTCTGTTTTTATTTATTACTGTGTGTATGTGTATGATGGGAGGGACACATAACATGCCACCAAGCTCCCAGCTTTTCATGGGCTCTAGGGATTAGACTCAGGTCATCAGGCTTGCCCAAAAAGCACCTTTACCTGCTTAGCCACCTTGCTGGCCCTTGTTTTGAAACAGGGTCTCACACTGTAGCCCAGGCTGGCCTTGAACCCTTAGTGGTGCTGTCGCCTCTGCTCCCCAAGTGCTGGAACCTCAGGTATGAACTACCACACCCAACCGACTCCTCTGATGTCAGTTTTATAAAATCTTCAGTCACTGTTTCTTTTGGTGCTGACCCCTCTTTTACAGATGTTAGTGTTCCCTCAGTCCCCTGTGTCTTCTTGATGACACTCTGGTGCCTGCTGGTAATTTTCCTCCAGCTTCTGCTCCTCTTAGTCTCTCTTCATTTTGTCCAGCTCCTCTTTTTGTCTGTTATTTTTGTTGTCTTGTTTTTCAGCACTGGAGACTGAACCACAGGCTCTTGTACACACCAGACATGTACTCTACCACCTAGTCATTAGTGCACACCCAGCCCTCTTCTTTCGCAAACCGTCCAGACTGGCATCACTCGTGCAGGGCTCTTGCTTCATCCTCTCAAGGAGCTGGATGGCAAGTCTGTAGCACCAGGTCCTGTGAGAGCTTACATGTAATGGTTGTCTTTTTGTCTTTCTAGGCAATCTAGACGCCATTCTACCCGTGCTGTAAACCTCCAGTTCCTTTATTTTTAACCACATTTTCACGTTATTGGTCATCCCCATGGCCCCTCACCAAGCTGCCCTTCGGCAGGTCCTCGAGGCACTGAGGTGCTTCCCCACGCCACTAGCCCATTCTGTGTGTGAACTCCAGGAACCTCACACAAACGGGATCATCAGCATTTGGCTTACATCACTTACCATAATGTCTTCATGAGGGATTGTCTCTTTGCATGTTTTATAGTTATGTTGTAAACATCTCCAGAGCACCTTGTGGGGGGAACCTTTGTGTCTCTAGTCAGGGTGTGTCCTCTGAAGTGATCTGCATCACTTTCTGAGGCATATTATCGCTGATTCCTGACTCAGAGTGTATTGTCTGAAATAATTACAGTATCAGCTCATAATTCATTTTCAAAGGGGAATGCTTCCATCCTCCTGAGAGGCATAAGTGGGTTTTACCAGTTGTTGGGGCACTCCAGACTTGCCTGCACTCTGCTACTGTTCCAGAAAGGCACAGTCTTCTGCTTTCCTAAAAGCTCCACCATTCTTAGCCATTTGACCAAAGCGATTTCAAACAAAATGTTTTCTGTTTATCATCTCTTGCGCTCCAGCCTTCGGTGTTTTTGTAGAGACTGTGCATCTTGCCAGGTCTTCCTCCATCATGGTGCACTGATATGTCACCCTTTGGCCAGGTGTGGCAATGGTACAGTCAGCAGTTAATCTGTAAAGAATGGTTCAGCAAATCTGAGCCAGAGTCCATGCTCAGCTATGAGTCCAAAGTCCAGAAGTAGGGATTTATGTTCTTCAAGCGGAGTCTAGTGTTCCATGGGAGCCTCCCTTTGCCTGCCCATTGCCAGCCTCTTTACCCCCTACCAAGGCAACAACAGACCCAACTTTAGTTCTTTTTTTGTCTTCTCCTTACAACTTATATAACGTTATTTCCTAACAGAAGAGAATATTGAATGAGGTTGAGAAATTCCAGTTCCCCTTAGCCTGGCAATCTTAACCAACTGAAATTCTGAGCATACATTTCAGTGATATTAAAGTGCAGTCACATTTCATGGGATGGCTGGAGAGATGGCTCAGTGGTTAAGAGCACTGGCTACTCTTCCAGAGGACCCAGGTTCGATTCCTAGCACCCACATGGCAGCTCCAGTCCCTGGAAGCCAACTCCTGGCCTGCAAAGGCACTGTATGCACATGGTGCATAAATATACATGCAGGCAAAGCACCCATTCACTAAAGCAAAAATAAGATCTCCAATAAAAAGCAAAAGTAAAACACGTTTCATGATACAGCGGTCACTGCCACCCATCTCTTGAACTCTCACATTTCCAACTTGATGCGCATGCTCATGAAATGGCAATTCTCCATTTCTATCCCCAGTCTACTCTGAGGACCTCACAGAAATGCAATCCATAGGTCTTATTTTATGACTGGTTTATGTCACTGGTGACCTTAAGCTCATCTGCTACAGCAGTTATTAGAAACTCTTTCCTTTTTAAGGCTGGGGCTTGCTCGATTATATGGCTAGACCACATTTTATGTATCTGTTCCTCCACTGACAGACACTTCCTGTTTACTACTGTGAGCAATGCTGTGTTGAAGTTTTATTTTTAGTTGTATGTGTTTTGTCTGTGTGTGTGTGTAGTGTACTATGTGTGTACCTGATGTCTCAGAGGTCAGAAGAGGGTGCTGGCTGCCCTGGAACTTGAGTTGAGGACGGCTGTGAGCTGCCATGAGGGTGCTGAGAAACAAACCCAGGTCCTCTGCAACAGCAGCCAGTGCTTGTAACTGTTAAGTCATTTCTCCAGCCTTTATTATAACTTGTTTTTGAACCTGAGTTGAAGTTTAATTTTTATCTATCTATCTTCTGTTTGTCTGTTTATCTATCTATTGGTTTTCTGAGACAGGGTTTCTCTGGATAGCTTTGAAGCCTTTCCTGGAACTCTGTAGACCAGGCTAGCCCCAAACTCACAGAGATCCTCCTGCCTCTGCCTCCCAAGTGCTGGGTTTAAAGGCGCGTGCCACCACCGCCCAGCTGAGTTGAAGTTTATTAAAAGATATTAAGATCGAATACTTAATGACTAAGAGAAAATAAGCACTCAGGAAGAAAGTCAGACATGTTCAAGAACATGGCCATGGGCATCTCAAAGAAGAGTGGTGTCTCCATGTCATGCTTTAAAAACATGCACTGAGAAGAGTTACTGGTATTTAAATGCTGCCACAATCCTAATGGCACTGTCCCACGATTTTCTGAAACCATTTGGATATCACTGGAGACCAAATAGGCTTAATTTCTGAGTGATGGTTAATAGTTCTTAGAAACTAGTGACAGGCCCATGTCAGAAACGAGCAGTTGTCTCAGCTTAATGGGGGAGAGCAGGAAGTGTCTAGGGTCATCAGCTTTTGGTCCCATCTGGAAGAGGGCGTGGTCTGGAGAGAGTTAGGAATACAAAGCATGAGTGTTGGGCAAGGTGGGGCTTGCAGCAGGTCAGGGTTAAGAGCGAGGTTAGGCTAGGCAGTTCCATTAAAGGAATAAGGAGCCAATGGTGTGCAGTGCCCAGCCATGCAGGACTAGAGTTCTTACTAAAGAGAAAGCAATTGGATGGGGGAGATGGAAAATGCCTTTAATCCCAGCTCTCAGGTAGGGAGGCAAATCTCTGAGCTGAAGCCAACCTGGTCTACAGAGCAAGGTCCAGGCCTACTAGAGCTATATAGTAAGACTATGTATCAAAAATAGAAAGCAAGTTAGCCTTCATGCCTTTATCTCAGCACTTGGGAGGTGGAAGCAGGCAGGGTATCTGGGAGTTTAAGGCCACCATGATCTACATAGTGAGGTCATGTCTCAGAAAGAGAGAGAGAGAGGAGAGAGAGAGAGAGAGAGAGAGAGAGAGAGAGAGAGAGAGAGAGAGAGAGAGAGAGAGAGAGAGAGAGAACATTTGAAGTGCTGAATATGATGATACACTTGTAATGGTGCATGCTGCAGGTTCAAGAGTTCAAGACCAGCCTCTGCTACATTGAAAGTTTGCAACCCTGACTTTCTGAAACTACTTCATATTAATTAACTAATTCCATCATGGAAATCTTTTATTTCAGTCTTGTAAAAGGAAAGCCCCAGAAGCTGGAGAGATGTCACAGAGCAGTGGTTTTCAATCTGTGGGTTGCAATGCCTTTGGGGGGGGGTTCAAATGACCCTTTGACAAGGATTTTTATATCATGATTCATAACAGCAGCAAAATTACAGTTATAAAGTAGCAATGAAAATTATTCTATTGTTGGGGTCACCAGAACATGAGGAACTGTATTAAAGGGTCACAGCATTAGGAAGGTTAGGGCTCCTGCCTCAGAGGTTAAGAGCATTTATTGGCTGCTCCTCCAGAGGAATCACGTTTGATTCCCAGCTTCTACATAGCAGCTCACAACCATCTGTAACTCCAGATCCAGGGGGAATCTGATGCCCTCTTCAGACTTCTGCAGGCACTGCACACATAGACATATAGGCCAAACACCACTACACATAATACATTTTTAAAAAGAAATATCCCAAATTAAACAACCCTGTTCTCACTGAGTCAGACACTAGCCTCAGTAGTTCCTGGAAGGCAGCCTCAACTTGGCTTCAGCTGCCTTCCAGGAACTACAGCCAAGGGATGAGAAGTGACCCACAGTGCCACATGCCTTAGAACTCACCTGTGTGTGTAGAGAAGGAAGGAACAGGCTTCCATTTCTAGACCAGTTTTGCTTGCTACTAAGTCTGCCTGTTTGTGGTGGCTACCAAGAACCAGTTTTATTCATTGCCACAGTTAATTTTCAACCTTCAAATTTCTGAAGTTGTCAAAGGAGCAATTTGGGAAAGCTCTGACTATATCAGAAATATGCAAATGTGAAATGGGTAAATATGAAAAGGCAAGTCAGTGTGTGTGTTTTCACAGGAGAGTCAGTCGCCTCTTCTATTACATCAACAACTAGCACGTCACTAGACTTTATGACCATAGGCTAAAAGTGTGTTCATAGCTCCCTTTAAAGTTATTTATTATTCTTGCCAGATGGTGGTGGAACACGTCTTTAATTCCAGCACTTGAGAGGCAGAGGTAGCCAGATCTTAGTGAGTTCAAGGTCAACCAGGACTGTTACATAAAGAATCCCTGTTTTTGAAAAACCATTTTTAAAAAAAAAAGGTTATTTATTTCTTATTCTTTCTTTTCCTTTCAGATTTCTTGTTTAAATTCTTGGTCATCGGAAATGCGGGAACCGGCAAATCTTGCTTGCTTCATCAATTCATTGAAAAAAAATGTGAGTGACACCAGATGTTTTTGTAATGTCTGTGAGTACCCTGGCTACAGAGGTGCTTGTGGGAAATCTGAGCTTTCTGGAGGGGGAAACCATAGCTTCAAAGTACTTCACTTTTAAATTTTTATTATTTGAAAATTTCATACATGTATAGGTTTTGATCCTCTTCACTTCCCTCTAGAACCCATCTTCCTAACATGCCCATCTCCTCCCTACTTTCATGTATTATCACAGAGTTATGTTAAGGTTGCTTGTGTGCATGTGTGGGGTTATTTACTGGATCATAGAGAACAGACAGTTTACCAGTGGTTACACCCCTGAAGTAAAATATGATGATGGAGGTTTCTGTCCTGCCAGGTCCCATTGCCCTTCAGTCCCAAATAATCACATAGAGATATATTAATGATAAAACTGTTAGCCAATGGTTAGGACTTCTTATTGGTTAGCTTTGTCTTAATTATTAACCCATAACTACTAATCTATGTATTCCCGCATGGCCTTATCTTACCAAAGAACACCTGGCGCATCCTATCTTCCAAGTCTCTATATGGCGTTTCTTCGTTGCCTCTCTCTGCCTTCCTTTTCCCAGCCTTCTCCTGGCCTGGTAGCCCTGCCTATGCTTTCTGCCTGGCTATTGGCCACACAGTGTCTTATTCATCAGCCAATAAGAGACACATATATACAGGAGGACACCCCCCATCAAAAATGGCTCTCTCCCCCCATCAACCATTGACTGCTAATATCTGCTGGGCAAGGGGTAGTGCCTAGTAAGCCCCTCACCCATCCATGCTGGAGTGTTGGTGGGCTTGATTCTGTGTGGGTAACTTCCCATTGGTGCTGTAAGTTCATGAGGGCCATGGCCACTTAGTGTCGAGAAGACTGCGTTTCCCAGCGGCTCTCCTCCCCGTCCTCTGGTTCTTACATTCTTCACCTGCTCCCCACCTCCACCCACTTTTCTGTAAGCAACAGCCAAACTTTATTTTCAGCAGTTTGAGTTTCTGTCTGTTCCTGACCATGCTTGAGTGCAGCACTAATCTAAGGATAGAAACATAAACATTTAGAAGGCCGTTTGACATGTCCATTTAGCAAAACAACTGTAGTAGGTTCTCCCCTGAGGTCTATAACCTCTCCGAGATGGGCTTTGACCAAGATTACAGTAATATACATGAATTTCCTTCTGTGGGGGCGGGCCTCAAATCCAGTCTGAAAGGGGTTGATTACTCTTGTAACATTCATGCCTCTGATGTAGCAGTGGGTATTTCTTGCCTAGTGGGTCAGTATTATAGCACACAGTATTGTAGTACCACTAGGTAAAACTACTTTGATGTAGCATTACAAGGTTGTGATTTTTGGGTTCTTTTTAATATAAGGTCTTATTATGTAGCCTTGGCTGGACTGAAACTCACTATGTAAACCAGGTTAGCCTTGAACTTAAAGAGAGCCACCCAATGTCTCTGCCTTCTGAGTGCTAAGATTAAAGGTTTGCACCCAAATATGTTGTATTCTCATACTTTTACATGACAGGGTTTTTATTGTTAGTGTTTCAGTTTAATAGTGGTTCAATGTATAGTGTTTTCTTAAGAGAAACACAGTGACGGATTCTTCAGCAGAGACCCGGTTTCCTGGCAGATTAGCCAGATACACATTGGAGTGTAATTGGAAAAGTTACAGCCTTCAGTTGCTCTGGGTGGCCTTTAGTGCCTCTCAAGCCCTTCTGTCTCCTGTCCTGGTCTGCAGGTCAGGAAGTGAAATGGAGCAGTCACAGGTGCTCCTGAGAGGAGTGTCTGTTACAGAGGACTCTGGACCACAGCTCCACATGCGTATGTTGGCTAGTAATGTTTAGGGATCTTTCTTCCACACTGTGTGAGACTGTGAAAGCCTGTAGGTTCAAGAAGCCCTTAGAATAAGTGAAACTGTGGTGACAGTGTGAAGAACTGGGGAGAGTGAGCTGTAGTTTAGGGCAGTCAGAGGAAGGCTTGGCACAGAACTGGCTAAATAAAATGCTCCTAAGGTGGAAACCTCTCAGGTGGGAGGAGAGGAAGAGTACAGAGTATCTTGGCAGAGAATGAAAGGACACTTCTGGAATTTTTTCAGCCACTTCCATCAGCAAAGAGCTTCTCAGAGCCTCTGCCCAGCATAGGCTCTAGTGAGGTTTGCCAACAGACACAGTTCTCTGTGCATTCACTTAACGTTTGGTTTCTGGAAACAGATCTTCTCTCATCCTTTAGCTGTCAGACTGGCTAGAGACGACTTATATAACCAACTTGGTCTCTATTCCATGCCGACTCTCTTGCCCCAGCTTCCCACTTGCTGGGATTGCAGGCATGAACATGACATCTTTTCCATATTTACAGTGTCTACTTCATCTCTGAAAACAGAGCAGTCAAGCAGGTTGTGTTTCCATTCCTAGCTGTTCCCAGAGCCTCAAGGGAAAGCTCACTCTCTCCTTGTCACAACAGCATGCCTCCACTTGGATGCTACCAAGGTCCTCTCTGCAGTTTGCCTGGAGTGGGGATGGGGAGGCTTCCTACATGACCACACACCTGAATCTGTCTCTGGCACAGGCTGGATTATTTGTCTAAGCTCTCATTCCTCCAGGAAAAGGTACATCATCAAGTGGCACCCCTGATTTTTGAAGCAGTACGCCAGCAGGTGACAGGAGTAGCATTTGTTCTAGCTCATCTCTTTGTTGTAGCCATCTTGTACCATGGCATATCCCATGTGATTAGAAGTGATGGGACTCCAATAAACTCATTCAAATTTTTGCTGTGCAATGCCAGAACTAATGAACATTTGATACCAGTAATACACATAAGGACCCCCCCAAATATCCCCTAGACAGACCCCAAATCAGAGTTTGATGATCAGATTATTTTGGGGGTCTCTTCTCTTCAGTTCTTTGGAATACTACACTTTGACCACCTCACTGCTGACCAAGTGTCCAGCTGGTTACTAGGCACACACCCTACTGTGTGGTAGCCTGGTGTTAGAGGGTGATTGGTGTCAATCTTCTCTGTGGATAGTCAGGTGTCTTGGGCTCAGGGAAGCCTCTTGCAGTAACTATACCATGTGCTAGGAATTGGGAGAGCTCTCTACTGTCTCTTTAAGAACAGGGATCATGTGATTTACTTAAAGTCAGTGCCATTCATCAGCTTACATACAGAATGGATGGCCGAAGCTAGCAGCCTTTCCATCTGCAGGGCCCTTCGTATGTCCCTTCCCCAACTTTTTAACTTTTTATTTTAGTTTTAAGTCCTTGATCTTAACATTACTATTTAAGTCTGTGAATTGCTACCTTCTTGTTCTAAAATGTAATTACTTGTTTTTTGTTTTTCTTTTTTAGTCAAAGATGACTCAAATCATACCATAGGAGTGGAATTTGGCTCAAAAATAATAAATGTTGGTGGTAAATATGTAAAGTTACAGATATGGGACACAGCCGGACAGGAGCGATTCAGGTAGCTCTCCTAATTTACTAAGACTTGAACTTGGACTCAAACTGTTTAGCTGGATTCCCTCATGGTGTATGATCTCAAACCAACATGCACACTGATTTCAAAAGCTCCAGCTCAGTCTGGAAGCTCTCACTGCTAAGAGAGCATGGACTGGACTCCAGATACCAAAACAAACAAGAGAAAGCACTAGGTAACTAGAATCTCAGAGGTGGCAACTCAGTCTGGAGGCCGAGATGCTGAGTACCTTGCAGCGGTTTGGGTTTCGGTCTGTCTTTCCATTGGTGTTTTGAGGCAGGGCCTGGCTGAGCAGTCTGGGTAGACCTCAAGCCCATGCATGGCCTTCTTGGGTCACACTCCTGAGTATCAGGATAGCGGGTGTATACACCATCCCACCCATAGTATGCTTTTAGATTAAAACCAAGGCAGTGCAACAGGACGAATTGAAAATTTTTCCATAGTACACTTCTATGAAGAATTTTTCATAAACGCCCATCATAGGTTTTGACTTCTTTACACTAACTGGGGCATGCTGTGACAGCTGCTATGACTTCTGCAGGACACTCTTGCACAACTGACTCTAGGTCCCTGCTAGTCAGATTGTGTAGTTAGCATCTTGTAACAGTGAATGCAAGACAGTGTGTGAACATTTCAGTCGTGCTTTCTACATAGTGCACCACATCATAAAGATTCAGTGTGGGATAAGCCACACACCCACAGCAGACTTCACTTTTTAATTAAAATTGGGGATATGGTATGGTGGTGCCCATAGTCCCGGCTACTTATGGAGGTTGCAGCAGGAGGATCACTTAACTCCAGGTGATCAAGGCTAGCCTGAGCAATATAGTATGAGACCATAGGAGGTGCCAGAGAAAATGTTATTTTGTTAGTATAAAAAAAAAACCTAACAGGGCTGGAGAGATGGCTCAGAGGTTAAGAGCACTAACTGCTCTTCCAGAGGTCCTGAGTACAATTCCCAGCAACCACATGGTGACTCACAACCATCTATAATGAGATCTGGTGCCCTCTTCTGGCCTGCAGGCATACATGTAGGCAGAAAGCTGTATACATAATAAATATCTTAAAGAAAAAAAATCTAATAAAATGGCTCAGTAGATAAAGCTGGGCAACCTTGGCAATCTGAATTCCATCTCCAGAATCACACAAAGGTGTAAGTAAAGAAGTGACTTCACAGAGTTGTCTGACTCCTACATACATGCACCACCCTAGCATAATACACACAATAAGAAAGCTAAATTTAAAACAAACTAGCAAGACAGAATTTAGCATGAGAAGAGAACACATATTGCTGAAAAACAGATCACTGAGAATGTGAAGTGGACAAAGGGCCAGTCTTCACAGAGCAAGGAGTAAAGAAGGATGTTCTGTGAGACAGTAAATGTGGGCACTGGCAAGGATCTAGGCTCCTCCCGTCTTGGGTTTTTCCTGGGAAGAGATGTGAGGGTTTCCTGGAGCTGGGTGCTAAGGACATTTGGGCCACATGCGGACACCTGAACCTCCTGTGCCTTCTAAGGAGCTTCTCAGCAGGGCTGTTCCTGCTTTGGAGAGAGCATCCTGCTTCTCCTGGCTCTGTGTTGTGGTTCACAAGGAAGTATGGTTTTTATGGGGAGAAGTAAAGGGCCTTGATTGTTAGAAGCCCTGTCATTCCTTCAGGTCTGTGACAAGAAGCTACTACAGAGGTGCAGCAGGGGCACTCCTCGTGTACGACATCACCAGGTAAAGTCAACTCCCTATCACAGAGGCCAGTTGGTGTCCTGAATCCCTGTGTTGGTGAGATGTGTGCTTCATTTTGGTCTAGATAGGAGCATGGCTATACCCAGCAAACCTCTGAACCCTTTCCTGGGGAGTCATGGAGGTCTTTAGTGTCTGTGAGCTGTTGGGGCTAAAACAAGCCACTGCCCCTTCTTCGTACCATGTGGGACACATTCCTTTAGTCTGCAGGGCTCTGAATTCTCAAGAGTGAATCAAGAGGCTAAAAATGCAGACTTGGGCTCAGATCACCTGGGTTCAGATCCCAGCTCCAGCCAGTGGCTTTGAGATCTCTGCAGACCTAGGCCTCCCTGTTTTGGTTTGGTTTCTCATCTATAAGATGAGGGTAACATATTTGGACTGCCAGAAAGCTATGGGGGCGGGGTGTTAAGTCAACTAATGAAATACTTGTTACAGTTACTAGCGGCATGTAACAACTCAGTTTCACTCCTGGGTTGCTCTGGCCACATTTCAAATCCTCCATGTAACACGTGGCTAGGGACCACAGGATTGGCCAATGCAGGCTGCAGCACAATCCTGTCCTTGAAGATATCTGATCAATGCACTGACCTCAGAGTTGGCAGCATTGCCCTAGAAACAAAGAATCCAGATGGTTCTACTAAGGGGCCCTTTCTGAGAAGAACCTGACCCAGAAGACATCTGTGCATGATTGTCTTTCTCCTGTGAGAGGGGGTGACACTCCTGACTCCACCCTCCTCCTCCATGAGAGGCTCAACCTACCAGGGTGTGATATCCCTTGGGCCAGTCCTTAAATGTGAGAGCCAATCTGCAGGTCTGAGTTGGTCCTGGGTAGACAAAGCCCAGATGTCCTGCATGTCCCTGAGCCCCAGCTCCTAAGTAGCAGATCCTTGCAAAGTTGTGGTGGATTCCTGTGAGTCAAGGTGCCCACAAATCTACAGGTGACATGTTGCAAGCCAGGAGCGTACCTTGCACATCCTCAGGGCTCAGGTACATTTGTGAAGTGAATGAAAAGTTCCCTTTCCATTTGAGCCCAGAGTGTCAGACTCACTTTTGTTGTAACAAAAGCTAAACATAGTCCATGGGTCTGATCTGATGTGTCATTTGGGTTCTCAAGTCACCTCTGAGGCACCGTTGCCCTTGCTGAAATGTTGACAAGCAGTGTGCATGGTGAGGATGACTAGAAAGAGTTGCTAGTTTTATAAAATACATGTATTATTTCCACAATCTTATGTCACACAGCCGAGAAACCTACAATGCGCTTACTAATTGGTTAACAGATGCCAGAATGCTGGCGAGTCAGAACATTGTCATCATCCTCTGTGGGAACAAGAAGGACCTGGATGCTGACCGGGAAGTCACCTTCCTTGAAGCCTCCAGGTTCGCACAAGAGAATGGCAAGTGACTATTTCCTCTTATAGCTTCTCACAGGGTGGGTCTGGGCACAGTAACATTTCTTTGGGTTTAAAACATCTAGTGGAGCCAGGTGGTGGTGGTACACACCTTTAATACCAGCACTCGGGAGGCAGAGACAGGTGGATCTCTGTGAGTTTGAGGCCAGCCTGGTCTACAGAGAGAGTTCTAGGACAGCCAGGACTGTTTCAGAGAGAAACCCTGCCTTGAAAATCCAAAAAGTAAATGAAATAAAACATCTGGTGGAGTTTTAAGGTTAAATTATCTTACAAAATTGTGCAATCTCCACTATCAACTTAGACTAGTTTAGCATAGCTCAGCGTGTCTCATTCTGCTGACAACAGCCAGTGTGCTGAGGAAAGCAAGCTATTTACCTTCCATAAGGACTTTTAGGTCTGGGATAATAGCCATATTAGGGTGGCACATCTTTTTCTTTTTTTTTAATTATTTTAATTTTAAATAGCTTGTTTTACATGTCAATCCCAGTTCCCTCTCCCTCCCCTCCTCCTGCAGCCCTCACTATCTCCCCCAGATTCCCACCCTATCGCCATTTCCTTCCACATAAGGGATATCTAGAGTCTATCATTTCACTCAGGGCAGGGTTCAGGCACTCCCCTAATAGTCCAGGCTGAGAGAGCATCCCTGTTTGTGTTATGAACACACAATGTCTGTTTGTATGCCAGGGATAAACACTGATCCACTGCCCAGGGCCCCATAGGTTGCCCAGGCCTCCTCACTGACTCTCACATTCAGGGGGTCTGGATTAGTCCCATGCTGGCCTCCCAGCTGTCGGTCTGGGGTAGCATATCTTTAATGTATCTTGAAACATCGTTGATGAAGTAGTCGTCCCACATACAAAGGAAGCAGAAGAAACAGCTAGCTGGCTTCATATTCTTACATTAAGTCGTTTGTTTAATGGCAACAAATCTCTTTGTTTGATTTTTTTTCTTTTTGAGACAGACTCTATATAGTCCCAGCTGTCTTGGAGCTCACTATGTAGACCAGGCTAGATAAGTTTATTAATGTTAAAACTACATTGTAAATTTAGCCATTGTTTATAGAGATGACAGTATTATAAACCTTCAGGAAGAGGCTTAATTCTGAGAGCCAGCTGAGACTAGTACATCCTTATGTTCACATTTGGTTGGACTCAAGGACAGAAAACTATTTTCCTAGTTTGATGGGTTTTTACTAAAAAATAAACATGAGCCAGGCATGGAGTTTGGGGCTTGTAATCCTTGTATTAAGGAGGCAGAGGCAGAAGGATGACTGAAAGCTTGAAGCAAGCCAGGACCATGCAGTGAAACTCTGTTTCAAAGGGGATGGGACGGTAGGAAGAAAGAAAAAGAAAGTAAATACAGACTGTACATGGATGATGTTTCAGAGCAGTGGTTCTCCACCTTCCTAACAGACCCCCAACCATACAATTATTTTCATTGCTACTTCATAACTATAATTTTCCACTGCTATGAATTGTAATGTAAATATGTTTTCCAGTGATCTTAGGTGATCCCTGTAAAGGGTCATCTGACCCCCTCAAGGTGTCATGACCCACAGGTTGAGAACCGCTGTTGTAGAGCTATTTAGAAAGCAGGAGCTGTTTATTATGGCAAGGAAAGTCCTCTAGTAGTACAGACCAGAGGCCAATAGCTGTGGTGCAGCTAACGTCACAGAGCAGGCTTTCCACTAGAATCAGTCCCTGTTCTAGGGATAAAGGAACATGATTTCAAGTGGGACTTCAGGACTCGAGAGTTGGCTCAGTGGTTAAGAACACTTGTTCTTTCAAAGGACCCAGGTTCAATTCCCAGCATACCACCTCCGTTAGCACCAGACACACATGTGTACACAGACATACATGCAGACAGAACACTCACACACACAAAATAATAAAAGTAAATCAAGTGAGACTTCTACCCAACCTCCCCAATTAAAACTATTGGTTATTAGAGGAGAGCAAAATTAGCAAAAATTATCTAGGATACCCAAACGAACACATTTTCCAATTAAATGCAAATTAAAAGTCCTGGATGGGAATGGCTTTTCTTGGACAGCAGGACTGTGTCTGGCTTGGATGGACATGGGCCCTGCTTGTGTGTAGTGCAATGCAGTGATTTGTCAGCTGTGTCTGCATTCATGCTGACTTGCAGATCTACTTGGAGAAGGAAACTGAGACTCTAAGTTACAATTTCAGCTGACCAGTCCACCACTCATGGTATTCAATGACACAGTCCTATGTGCTTACTTCATCTTGTCAGTTCAGGGGCCAGGGCATGATAGTAATCATTCTTCAATGGACTCCCCATTACCTAATATATTAGCATACCTGGATGTGATGGTAGCTGTAATTCCAGCACTCAGAGACAGAAGAGGTATGAGGATCAAGAGTTTAAGACCAGCCTCAGCTACATAAAACCTTATCTCAAAAAAAAAAAAAACAGAACAACAAAAACATATATTTATGTGTATCAATTTTATGTTTATAGAAATAGAGGACTTAGGAACTGGATTGTGTTTTGCCTGTCACTATATGAGAATACTGAGCAAGCTGTTAGCAGTTGAAAGTCACTGTCATTGGGCCAGCAAGATGACTCAGTGGTCCAAGTCTGAGGACCGAGTTCCATCCCTGTGACCCACATAATGGAAGGAGAGAACCAACTCCTACAAACTGTTCTCTGACCACCACACATCCACAAGAGCACACACAAAATGAATGAATAAATGTAATAATAAAAAAATTTAGCCGGGTGCTGGTGGCACACACCTTTGATCCCAGTACTTGGGAGGCAGAGGCAGAAGGATCTCTGTGGATTTGAGGTCAGCCTAGTCTATAAAGCTAGTTCCAGGACAGCCAAGGCTACATAGAGAAACCCTATCTCAAAATAACAATAACAATAATAATAATAATAATTTAAAGTTCACTATCTTCTAAATGTGGTTCCCTGACTTCTTTAATATCATTTCTAGAGCTGATGTTCCTGGAAACGAGTGCACTGACTGGTGAGAATGTTGAAGAGGCTTTCATGCAGTGTGCAAGGAAAATACTTAACAAAATTGAATCAGGTAACATTCTTCTCTGGCCTCATCTGTGGGTTTTGCCCTGTAGTTCAACATTGCCCTCTGCTGGCTGTTATGAGCAAGGCTGTAGTAAAGTACCTCTAAGTAGCATGCCAGTCACACTTGCCTGACAGAAGCAAGCTCCCAGAGGAGTCAGGGGCAGGTGTGTGGAGGGTAGCATCAAAATTGGGTTATTAGTTTCATATGTGTAATACTGTCACATAGTTCTACTCAACATCCAAAATTCAGGTTCAGGTGTCTCAGAGGTGCAGAGCACCCAGGTCTTAGTGACACACCCTGTGTCTCAAAAACAAGTAGAAAGCACATACACTGAGCTCTGGCCTCCATGCTCTACACACCTGCACACATGGATCACACACACACATTTTTAAAATAAGACATTTTCCCCCAGCCAGGTGTGGTGGCATGCACCATTAATCCCAGCATTAGGCAGGCAAGAGAAGGTAGATCTCTGAATTCAAGCCCAGCCTGGTGTACATAGTAATAGGTCAGCCAAGGCTACATAGTGAGACCCTGTTTCAAAAACGAAAATAAATAAATAAAGTATCTTTAGCCAGCCGGTAAATTTTTGCTCTTCACAATGAAACTACAAATGCATGCATGGAACATTACACTTTGCCCTTTTCCACTTACCATGTTTGGGGAGCACAGACTCACAGCCATTTTCTTGGTCCTCAGGTGAGCTGGACCCAGAGAGAATGGGCTCTGGCATCCAGTATGGAGATGCTGCCTTGAGACAGCTACGGTCACCACGGCGAACACAGGCCCCAAATGCACAGGAATGTGGCTGTTAGGCATGCCAGTAACACAGGTGGGTGCTGGAGAGAAAAGAGGTGTGAAGCTGCAATAGGAGGGTTGGGGAGCCCAGGAGAGGAGATCTGCAGGGATAATCAGAGGCCTGCCCAACAGGACTGACCCTGTGGGAGCTCCTCCCAGCCATTCAGAAGCAAAGCAGAGCAGGCAGAGCCCAGTGGTACCCTCTGTGACAGAGTTCCTGCTCCTTAAACCATGGAGTAGACTTAGCCTAACTGAGGCCTCCACAGGAGCACCTCTGAAACCAGTAGGCACTCCATTTTTGTTTTGTTTTGTTTTGGTTTTTTTGAAACAGGTTTTCTGTGTATCTCTGGCTGTCCTCGTACTCAATCTGTAGACCAGGGTGGCCTAGAACTCAGAGATGTGCCTACCTCTGCCTCCTGAGTGCTGGGATGTGCACCACCACACTCTGTCTATACTTTCGATAACTCTCTCCCATTTACCACAGCAGACTGTTTTGTCAGGGAAGTTGAAGCAGGATCTCACTATATAGCCCAGGTGGGCCTACCACCTTATGGCAATGCTCCTGCTTCAGCCTCCCTAATACTGAGATTCTAAGGGTATGCCATCATGCTCAGTTCACCATGGCATTATCTAGCGGTGTAAACCAGTGTGAATCCAAAGGTGAAACTGTCCTTTTCTGGTGGCCGTGAGCTGTTTTGCATTTACAGCCACACAAGTATCTAATCACACTTAACATTTCTCAGGTTCAGTGGTGGTTTCTGGAGCACAGCTGCTGCAGCCTGAAGAGTCTGAAGTTTTTACTACCATCTTTTCTACTCTGCACAGAAGTAGATCTTCATGGGGGAAACAACAGTGCACACTGGCAGACAGGGCTCAGCAGCCATACTGCAAACTAACTCAGCAGACAATAACTTTAGATGCCACATGTATGCAAAGATCCCTGCCCCACATCTACCCCTCATGTTCCGTTAAACCAGGCTTGTGCTGCACACAGCCCAGCACGTTCCTACAGCGCAGAGCCAGTATGACATGGTAGAATCCTGCACTCCATGAAGCTTTTTTTTTCAACTCACAGGAAATGCAGTTTGTGAATGTGAGCGTGCTTTTCTCATTGTATTGGTTGCACATATGACTCAGTATCAAAGGACTCTGGCACTAATAGTCAGTGTATTTCTTATTTAATCCTGCTTATTCTTTTTACACTGTTTCTGTGATCCACACCTGAAACGCTTCACCTACAGGATGCACTAACATCTGGAAATAAAGTGGAACCAAGTTTCTCGTGCACAGTACACTGTCCTGCTCTGTGGACTGTAAGGTTCTTAACTGAGGTCAGTGCAAGAGCCGCTGTGGGCCCAGGTCAACCTGCCCATCCTGCTCGGTTTCCACCTCACCCTCGACCTCCACTGTCTGTCTCCCTGCTAGAAGACCCGTTATACGAGCATCACTGCCTCTTTTTCCAGCTCTTACATTATTTTGTAGCCATTTTCAGGAAACTCACTACCTCTAGCAAAGGATACTGCTCAGTAGTAAAGTGCTTCACTCTGCATGTGCAAGCCCTCCCCACCACACACATTATCATTATGCCAGGTGTGGTGATGCACATCTATAATCCTAGCACTCAGTAGGCTGAGATAGCAAGAGGCTATCATGACCTCAAGACCATCTTGAGTTAAAGAGACTGGAGTGAGCACAGGGTGGAGGTGGATCACACAAAATTTCTTTGTAGCTCTTCTTGAATATGCAAATGCCTTTACTGTATACAATTATCAACTTTTTTTTTCTTGAGCCAGGATCTCACTATGTAGCCCTGGAAATATGTAGACCAGGATGATCTCAAATTCAAAAAGATCCATCTGCCTCTGCCTTAAGAGTTCTGAGATTAAAGGTGTTGGCCACGACACCTAGCAAAGCCTGTTTTCCTAACAAGCAATGTTTCCTGAACACTACCTTTCTTGTGCAAGTTTTAGTATGACCAGATATCATTTCTCTTCTATTTAAAATGTTTTCCAACTGTGAGACTTTCTCTTTGGCAGTTTATGTGTGTGCTGTTTAATTTCCACCTGGCCAGATCTTCTGTCACTAATTTCTAGTTTAACTCTACCACAGTCACAGTCACAATGCATAGTCTTTTTGACTGCAAGGTCTGTTTATACAACAGGCTTGGTGTCTTGGCAATGTTCTGTGTCCCTGGAAGAGTTTGCATGACTATGGCAGAGGGGAGCTGTTGGCGCTTAGTCATCACCAGGCTTTCCCGAATCATGGCTGATTCTCATCTATTACCTCTGGTGCTCGTGGGATATGCAAGTTTCCAGCTCTTACTCTGAATTTGTCAGTTCCATCAGATTCCCTATCTGTAGCTGACTTATACAACTATGGACCTGTCCACATGGCCTTGGACCAGTCCCAATACAGCCGCTGGCCACAGGATGTCTTCACTTACCTGTGTCACTCTGTGGGCATGACGCTCACACACTCTGCAGTCATGTGGGTCCTGGGAATTCTCAGCCATCTTCACAGCACTGTTGACATGGAAACACCAAGAAGGCACTGCATGCATTGATATGTTTGGAGTCTTTTGCATTTTTAAATGCTTTTCAACTTCCATGAACCTGCTTTTTCAGGTTAAACACTTTTCTCTCGTTACAACACTAAGTCTTTTCAGACATGCTACCTCCCCACCCACCATTTAAGATAGGGTCTCACTCTAGCCCAAGCTTGTCCCATACTCACAGCAATCCTGCCTCAGCCTCCCTCATGCTGGGATTACAGTGTGTGCCAACATGTCCTGCTCTAGATACAGAACTCCCAGGTGACATTTTCCTCTCTAATGATCCACTTCCTCTGGCCTCCATGATCTCTATGAAGAATATACTATCATTCAAACTGTCACATGTGTGGGTTGTGAGCACTTCATGGCATCTTAGTTATGGGCAGTTTGAGGACGGTGTGTCCAGATGGGTATTTGTGTGAGACAGGGTCTCACTACGTAGCCTAATATGGCCTCAAACTCAAATGCTCTTGCCTCAGTTTCCCCAGTGCTGGATCACAGCTGTTCAGTGCATTCCTTTGGATTTATCCTACATGGAGTTCATTCAGCTTGACTCTTTTAGTTTTATATCTTTCATCAGATTGGGAGTTTCCAGCCATTGTTCATCCCATCTTTTAAAGCCCTCATTGTTTGTCTTTCCATTCTTCCATGCCACGGGCCTGAGAAACTCTGCTCTTTCTTCATCTCTTCTGTTGTTCAGACTGGTGATTCTCCTTCATCTCCATTCAGCCATTGACTCCATCCAGCTTTTGAAATGCAGTCTTGCTCTATTACCCTGACTGACCTGAAAACTACCTGTGTAGCTCACAATGACTTCAAACTTGAAACAATTCTCCTGCCTCTGCCTCCCCAGTTCTGGGATTAAGATGTACACCAACATGTTTGCCCATTCACTTCTTTTTGTCATCATCAATTTTAATCTTTGAGAGTGTTTTGATTGCTCATTAGAGCTACTTCAATGTTTGTATCAGTATCTGCTGCCTTTCCTGAGCCTCCCAGTTCAGGTACTAAGCGGCATGGCCTTGTCTCTGCACTGTGGCTGTCATATTTAACCTTGTGGAGTTGACAGTGTTTGAACATACCTTCTTTCAGTATGATCCCCAATTCAGCTTCAGTTCCTAAGCCCTGGCTGTGCTATTTGGACCTGCCCCACCTGTGACCCAGAGGCCCCCTGCTGGTTCAGTTTCCTTTGGTGTGCTAGTTAGGATCAGTGTGAACCAAGCAAGCAGTGGCCCTACCCACCCAGCCTGTGTTGTTTCAACACTCTGAAGTGAACTTGGTGTTCAGAATAAGCTTGGAGCAATGGCGGAAACTTTCCTAAATACAATTTTGTTACTATTTAAGAAATCCAGACCTCCAGCTTCCATCCTGTGGGCCATCTCCCTGTTCCCACTGCCTAAAGTCCCCCACTAAAGGTCCATAAAGTTAAAAATGCCCAGAGATGACCCACAACTGTGTTTTTAAAAATCTTCAGGTGATTTCAATTATTTAAACAGCCTTTGTGAATAAAAGAATTACCCCAGATCTCCAGATTTTCATATAAGAAGAGGTACTGAGGGTCAATCATAGATGACTTCATGCCCATGACACCTTCCATGGTGCTGACTTTGATGTCTGAAGGCTGGCTGTAGAGCAGCTGGTCCTCACGTGGTCAAATCTGAGATGCTCTGCAGGGATGTATCCCAGGTGCTGAACAGCCACCTCATGATATGGTGATTATGCCTGATATAACTGTGCCTTGTACAATCCTAGCTAAGGATAAGAGAGACTTTCATAAAGACATACAAATGATGGGTGGACCTTAATATGCCACTAACTCACCTACTTGTTGAAGTTGGTAGCGAAAAAAATATTCAGTTTCTGCCAATCTAAAGCCTACCTATTTTGAAGGCTGGGAATATAACACAATTGGCAGAGTAACCACCTAACATGCATGAAGCCCTGAGTTTGTACCTCCCCAGAACCACATTAACTAGGTGTGGGGATATATACCTGTAATCCCAGCAGTTGAGAGATAGAGACAAGAGCAAAAAGTTCGAGGTCATCTTTGGCTGTTAGTTCCAAAGCCAGTCTGGGATACATGAGACCATATCTGTAAAAAGAAGAAAAATAACCAGGCATGGTGGCGGATACACTGGGAGGCAGAGGTGCTTGGATCTAGGGAGTTCCAGGATATTCAGGGCTACATAGGGAGACTCCAATTCTGCTTCAAATTCAGATGCAGGTATTCTGAAATGACCAGGCCATGTTTAAAGGATTGCATTTATACCAGCCACAGAGTATACAGAGTATACCTTACTTGGGCCAGGCGATGGCAGAGTGGGCCATGGCATAGCACTAGTTTACCCATAAAGTAGACCATACAGCTATCCTGTTGTCCTGAGCAGGGAACTTACCTGGAAAGCAAGCCTCACCTGTACTGGGCCTCTCCTACGCTTCTCCAATATTATTTCTGTATCCTAAGTGTCAAGGAGTTTTCACTCCATTTACAAAGTTTTCTGAAGGCATTTTTAACTTGAGAGTTGTTCAGAATTCACTTTTGATTGCTGCTTTGTTTCTTCCCATGTGGGGACCCCAGTGTCTCCTTCCTGCCAGGTAATCACCCTATCACCCAGCTATATTCCCAGCAAGGTAGAATTCTTTTGGAAATGAAGCCTTCAACATCGGCCCCTTTCTCCATCTCTTTTCTTGCAATTCAGTCCACTTACCGTGACGTGATCAAACACACCTTTGAATTAGCAGCCAACCTTCAATGAAACACAACTATGAAGATGTTGCATAAGAACTGACAGGAGCATGTGCTGCCACACTGTGAGTAGGTGAGACCACCTACAATGCCTTCAATTACCTTGAAAATGTATAGACATGTTAGAAATTCCATGGGGGTGGAGCGGATGAGTAGACACATAATCAATGCCAAGTATTCAGATAGCTTCTAAACATACAGTTTAAGAATACATTTCTATGTTCTTCTCATTCTTCTCACTCCAGCAGAGCTTCTCAGGTAAAAGTAGCACCAAAAAAAAAAAAAAAAAACCAAAAAAACACTTATGGAAAAAAATTTTAATTAAGACCTTAAAAATCAAAAATTTTTAAAAGACTGTGTATCATTTATTTTAAATATGACTGTATTCTCAAACATTTTCACATGTTTCCAACATGGAAGCCAATTTTAAATTATCTCACTGCCTTGTAGCTTGTCCTGTATTAGCTCCTAGTATAGGAAAAAGTTGTTCATAAGATCAGTTTGTTAATAATTTCATAGGCTCAAAAGGTAATCACCATCTTTTTAAAAGGAAGAAAACTGAAGCCTAAACATTAGGGACTCGGGTGTGGGGAGTCACAGGTAACTCACACTGACTTACTGACATTACATATTCTGCAAAGTCCTGATCATTTGTGCTCTGTGTAAGAAGAAAGACACCAGCATGGCCTCTCAGCGCACCTCAGCCTGTACTTCTATGCACAGGCAAAAGGATGCACGTATCTTCTACACAAGTCTGGAAGGGGGGTGGTCCTGTGCCCTCCCCACCTGTCTTTCTGAGATTGTCAGGTGCAACTTGATGATGTAGGCTGGGTGGGGAACACAGGCCTTCAAGGCACAGTTTTACAAAGAGTAATTCTCAACCAACTGGGCCACTGTCCCAGTCACCTTGCCTTCGTGACTTTGGGGACTATGTGGTTAACAGAGTCACTAGCAAGGTTGGATTTGAACAACATGTAGAACTTAATCTTTAATTAAATATACACTTCAGTGGGAGGGCTCTGTACACAAAGGACTATACAAAACTAGGCAAATATTTTAAGTTTTTTTTAAACACTCATGATTCTTCAGTATGCATTTTCAAAGCTTCATACAGTTTTAAGATGACACTGTGTGACAAATTTATATGGATTGAAATCATCTGTGTTCTAGAAATTATCATACTCAAAAACCCAAAGTGAAAACATCCTGGAGATGCTCAGTGACACGCACACCCAGCCCTCAGTTTTACCCAACAAACTCAGATGCTGAGATGGTGCAGGCAGAGATCTCCCCGTCTCCAGAAGAGCACGGTGCTCATCCTCTGAGCATCTTTCAGGCAGGATGGAGAAGCACCCATCTCATGGAAACCTACGCTTTTTAAAACCACTTGTTTAAACCCTGAAAGTGGTTGCCTACTACAGGAAGAACATTTACAGCCAGGCTAGCACACACACCATTCTCCCACAGTTCGGCAGCACAGGTCACCAGGCTGGACATCAAGTAGTCACATTTTCAACCTAAAGTATCAGCACTGTGCATCATGAAGCCTTCATTACGTTCTATAGAAGGAAAAGCAGAATGGAGGTGATGGCACACAAATGGTGTCCGTTGGTCCCATCCCCACAAGCCACACAAATTCAAGTTTATTAAGTGTCATTTCAGATCTCAAGTTTTCAATGTCATCGTTTGCTATCTCCAAAGAGGAGAGTGGCAGGTCAGACTTAATAAGCAGCTGACTATGCCATGTGTGCTCTAAAAGGGAATACTGCAGCTAAAAGAATGTGACACTGACTCAAAACAAATGTCATCATTGCTCTAAAACATGCACTGCACGTCACTCACCGGAATGTACCAGAACTATTATATATTAAATAAATGTCTAAGTGATGACTTAAGGGGAAAAGGCGACCCTCATTCTGGCCAGAAAATTCTTAAATATCATAGTCTACATGGAAATACCAAGTGTAACTGCTCAGCAGCTGCCACAGTTCTAGTTCATCAGGAAGAGCATTGACCCCGCACTGATGCCCTTGCTTTCCGTGGTGCCCCCTGCAAGGCCAACTGCACGATGTGAGTCCTGCGCTGTGGGACGGGATGCCCCCGCCAGCTGTGGAGCACGGTGCTGGTCAAAACGGACAGCTCCAACTGTACTACAGGAAGGTGTGGGTGGGAAGTGCCTAGAGCCGGTTAAAGGCATTTGGTGTGGGTATCTCCAAAGATTAAAATCTTTAAAATAAAACTCTTACAAGAATATCAAGACTCGGGGACTTGTCTTCGTAAACAGGCCAACACCTATGGCTTCGATGGTCTGCCCTAACTACAAAGGCAGGTGACCAACCATCATGAAAGCAAAAACCATCTCTTGAAAAAGAGGAGCCTTGCAGAACCAGTCGATTTCTTCCACCTGTGTGTGGTCCCATTTGCTAGTTTTGGTTTTCCTTTTCTTCCATAAACACTTGAAAGAGCATGTCCCAGCATCTATGCCCTTGCTGAGTAGCACCGCATGTACTCCGTCAGCCATGGGTTCTCTGCGGAAGTTGGCTTTACCCTCTGGTTCTTTTCCACATCCACCGAGTGAGCCCGCTGCCTCTGGGCAGCCAGTTTCCTTTTCTCCACCTGTCTTCTGTTCTTCGCTCGAAGTGCTGATTCATGAATCTAAAGAAAGTTCAAAAATAAAGGTAGAAGCCTAAGTGGCTTAGGGTTCAGTTTTTAACAATATCTAAGTCTGGGGATATAGCTCAGTGCAGCCTAGCACAGATGAAGCCCTGTTACTCCAGCACTTGGGAGGTAGAAGCGTGAAGGCCCTAAGTGCAAAGCCATCCTGGGATACAAGAGACCCGTCTTACCTTACTAGCCTGCTTGCCTGAAGCAAGGAGTCAATCCCTGACCATCTTTGGTACCAACACTTCACAGAAGAAAGTACCCTGTCACCACAATTCACCCCACTACTAATGATGGCAAAGCTGAGCACAAACATTAAATTTCAGGGCTGGAAAGATGGCTCAGAGTCAAGAACGAGTACTGCTCTTGCAAAGGACCCAAGCCAGACATCTCACAACTGTCTGTAACTCTAGTGCCAAGGGGATCCGATGCCACTGGCCTCTGAGAGCACTAGCACTCACACACACAGACTCACACTCGTACACATAACTAATAATAAATATTTTTTAAAAAACAAAAGTTTAGATATAAACAGCAAGCAGCTAACTTTCATGCGATCTAGGACCAGCTTAGGAAAACTTGTTTTGTTTTGATTTCTGAGACAGGATCTTGCTATATAGCTGTTTGGCCTGGAACTCACTACATAGATCAGACTGGCTATAAGTTTGCAGGGATCCAGCTGTCTCTACCTGCCAAGTACTGAGATTGTAGGTATGCCACCACACCAAGTTCTGGAAAACTGTGGGAACTCCTCCATAGTGAGCATGGAAAAGAGTCTGAGTTCTTGACTATGCTCTACAACACTGCACTAATGAGCTGGCTTTTTGAAGCCCATTCCATATGGTGGGATGCCCTGTTCAGTCTTGATGGAGTGAGGGAGCTCTTGGTCCTGCCTCTACTGAATGTGCCAGGCTCTGTTGACTCCCCATGGGTGGCCTTACTCTTTCTGACGAGTGGATGGGGGTGGATTGGGGGGAGAGAGAAGGGGAGGGAGGAAGGACTGTAGTTGGTATGTAAAACAAATAAAAAAATAAAATATAAAAAGAAAAGGGAACACTACACTAAAAAATGTGGACAACGGCTAGGTACAGGCACACGAGGCTAAAATCTCAGAATTTGGTAGTAGAGGTAGAAAGATCAGAGGTTCAAGGTCATCTTCAGCTAAGTAGTGAGTTTCAGGTCTGTGGCTACCTAAGATCTTGTCTTGAAATATAATAACACAACAAAACGAAAAAGTCAAGGGAATTTATCCTGTGACAGAAAAACACACTGTTAAATTAGTCCCTGAGACTGGTTAGGACTCTGCTAACAACAGCTCCCTTGTCTCAGATTTCACTTCAAATAAACAGCATCTGCCACCTAGAGTGCTCTGGGAACTTGCCTGGCATTACAGGGAAACTGAGTTTGCAGTTTGTCTTCCTGCCTACTCTTCAGGCATCCCTGGCATCCAGCTGATGCTAACACAGTCACTGTTTGATGATAGACCATACCCTCTCTGTCCCCCTGTTTAAAATATCTCTCAGGTCTTGAGAGAATGTCAAACCGAGGCTGAGTCAGATTGACTGGAGCTCCTGGGAACAAAACATTATTGCAGGCCAGGCAGTGGTGGCACACGCCTTTATTCTCAGCACTCGGGAGGTAGAGGCAGATGGATCTCTGTGAGTTCCAGGCCATCCTGGTCTACAGAGTGAGTTCCAGAAGAGGCTCCAAAGCTACACAGAGAAACCCTGCCTCAAAACAAAACAAACAAACAAACAAAAACCCCACTATTTCAAGTTGAATTTCATCAGAAGGGGAGCAGAGGTCCCCAGTAGATGTCAAGTAATCAGGCATGCCAAGTAGAAAGCCTTGGTCAAGGAGCCAGGTCAGCAAAGCTAAGGGAAACTGAGGCCTCTCCAGGGGATAGCTCAAGCTCCCGGTGTACTTCTCCCCTGTGGCCCAGGCCATAGAACTCATAAACCACAATGACATCTGCCTCTTCTCCTGGCTGTAGTACCAGTCCACCAAAGTCTACTCCATCTTCCTAGTAACCAGAGGCCCCTTTTGACTTCCATGACCCCACACCACCCAAGGACTCTCATGGTCCCGAGCATCCACAGCCACAGGAGAAAAGCCCTGTGGCGATGCACGGCTAGGCTCGCCCTTCCGAGGCACACCTCATGCACAGAGGCAGATGCACAGACATTGTGTGTCTTCTGGCTCCCCGTGTCCATCTGTTTCTCTCCCCAGCCATACAGGGCAAATGGATGCTTGTTCTCTTTTATTTTGCTTGTTGATCTTTGGGGGCTTCTGGTTGCTTTCTTATTTCCTCTGGCAAATAAGGCACTAGGCTGTTGTCGAGGTTTGGGGCCAGTGGGCACCCTGTCAGTCTCTTTTGCCCCAGTTTGTAGTTCAGGTTTTTCTTCTATGTCTTTTTTTGGTGGTGCTTTTGAAAAAAGGGATGAGACAAGATGGAAATACTTTAAATCAAACAGTTTATGTATAGTTACTTAAGCTAAAAAATAATAAAGCTTCATCAAGTCAGTTACATGTTTAACTCAACAGGTTTTACTTAAAGCAAGATATGGAAACACATTTGTAGAATAACTGTCATTTACCCCATTTTAAAAATTGACAACAAAGGTACCAATATTACATCAAAACAATTCCAAAGCAACCTCGATGGGCATCCCCAGGATTCATCGTCCCTATGAGAAATGAATGCACACACCTGGGAGCTCAGTCCACAAGCCCAGAGCGTGTGGTCCCCTCTGGAAGCTTCCTCTGGGGACAGAATAGGTGGCCCTCACCAGGCAAGCTGTTCAAGGTTTCTAAGTCACTTCCTGGAGTTCCAGGATTCTGCCTCCTTTTTGAGGTGAATTGATGGAAAACCTCCTCACCTGTGCCTCCAAAGAGGTGGCTATCCACCTGAGTCTAAGGGCACTTGTCACAACAGGATGTGGTCACCACAGCCACTCACCCGAGTGGAGCCCTTTACAGCATCCCCAGTGCAAAAAAACAAAAGATGTTGAAACAGCAGTGACTTCATGAGTCAGGGCCATGGTGTTGTGCTTGAATATGTAATGTCCTCCCAGGGTCATGAATCTGAACAGTTCCAGCTAGTGGTGCTGTTTTTTGCTTGTTTGTTTGTTTGTTTTTAAGATTTATTTATTATGTATACAGTTTTCCACCTGCATGTATCCATGCATGCCAGAAGAAGGCACTAGATCTCACCACAGATGGTTGTGAGCTACCATGTGATTGCTAGGAATTGAACTCAGGATCTCTGGAAGAGAAGTCAGTGCTCTTAACTGATGAGCCATCTCTCCAGCCCCTAGTGGTGTTTGTTTTAGGAGGCTGTAGAATCTCTGGGAGATGGGGTCTTGATGGAAGAGGTAAGTCACTACAGGATGAGTATTATAGGTTGCAGCCTGATCTCAGTTTTGACCTAGCTTCTGTTTCCTGAATGATCAAATGTAAGCAAGCAGCCTCACCTTCAAACTACCATGAACTCTGTTGCACCCTCCCCATCATGATGGACCATACCGTCTCCAAGCATAGCCAAAAGAAACCTTTCCACCCTTCAGTTGGTTCTATCAGGTACCTGGTCACAGTGATGAGAAAAGTAACTGACAGGTATGGTGTGTGGAGTCTGAACGGTGTCAGCAGGCCTGGGGAAAGGGAGGGAAACAGTGGGGAATGTGGCTGCCCAACCTGAGGTGAATATCAGGTATAAAAGAACACTCCAGAATGTCTCTAATTTCCCTTGCCTACATTTGGGGATTTTGACATTTTAACACACACACACACACACACACACACACACCAAGATTTCTTCCATAAATCCTTCCTGAGCCTGTTTCCTTCCCTCCTACACACACACTGGAATATGAGCTCCATGTGAGTCACCCATCACTCAGGCATTACATACCCTCCTCCATCAGCTGCTGCAGAACTTGGCTGTTCATAAAAACTATACAGACTACTGTAACAAAGCTGGGTTCCCTCAGGGAACAGACCCTCAGTCCTGCTGCCCTTGGCTGGGCATCTGTTTCTTGTTCCTCTACAGGAGCGTGTGCCCCATGTGGGCAACCCAGACAGGGCATGCCTGATCATAGGAAACCTTTACTTCTGCCTTAGCTTTGGCCTTAGCTCCAAAACCCATTCATTTTTACAGAGCATCCTAATTATCAGGTGACACAAGCCAAGCCTAGGGTCTAACATCTACATCCTACACCAGGCTGTAATCCCAGCAGTGAAGCATGCTTCATGAGGTGAAGAGACCAAAGATTCCACTTCATCCCAGGAACTTAAGCCACTCACTGCCCAAGTATCTTTCTGCATGTTGTACCCACACCCTTCCTCACCTTAGTGGAGGATGAGAGAGAGGGGGAACCTCAAAGTCAAAGCAAAGAGAGAAAGTGGCATGGAGCAGAACCCATGCAGATCAAATACAGAGAATGAGGAACTGCAGTGACCTGATTTTTGGGTCCTTCCTCCTCTCCTCCAGATCTCCCAGGGCCGCCTTGCCCAGAGAGGACAATAATGCCCTTCTTTGAGGATAAAGCTGATACTGGCCAGGAAGAGACCTAAAGAAGGAATGCTCATTGAAAGGGAAGAGGAAATAATCAACAGTTTTAAGGGCAAGTGCACACGCAGCCTTCAGCTCCAGGCTGGGAGCAGGTGGCACTAGGGAAATAAAGCCTTTCTATGCCCAACTTGGATTGGAGGTGGGAGTGATTATACCTTAGAAATCATGGGTAATTTTAAGCTTAGAAATTATGTGATCCTGTCTATTTTTTAGGATGGGTTGGATAAAAGAATAGAGCCCAAGTACCTGCCAGGAAAGGCTAACAACAGACCAGGGTAAACAGACACTGGCACCATGCTGGCATGGGGTAGGGCAAGAGAATGTGATTGGTCCCCACAGATGTTCTAAGTAGATGGTCCTCCAATCCATGGACCCAAGGTGTCCCAGGCACGATGGAAGGAACTGCACAGGATGCAATAACCAGGCAGGCTGCTAGGAGACATCCACAGGCACCTTGAGAGAGAAGACAGCTGGGGACCAGGCTCTGAGTGCACAGGACTGCCCAGCAGAAATGTGGAGGAGGAGGCCTAAAGGACACTTATTTAATGATCTGACAGAGAAAGAACCCAAGAGTAGGACAAAGGAAGGATATCTAGAAAAGTAAAAAGAAGCCAAAAAAAAGCAAACAAACAAAAAACCCTAAGAAAGTGCCACATTCCCCAGGAAAGTCCGTGTGGTGATAGACTGACTCTATCTGGCTCTGGTGGGTGCAGGAGGGGCCATGAGGGTCAGGGATCAAGCCAAGTGGCAGAGCAGTGGGGGCTGGATCAACCCTCCTCACAACAGGAACCAAACACAGCTCAGTGAAATACAAAAGTCACTGCCTATGGGACCTAGGCAGGACCCCGGAGTCCAAATGACTCCTACAAATGATTTAACGCAATTACCAGTGTCACAGAAGATAGCCCAGCACCCAAGAAAAGATAATGATGATGAGAGAAGCAGCTGGAGCAGATTTAAGATACCTAAATTATCATCTACAGACTGTGAAATAATGGTGCTTACACTCTGTGCTTAAGAAAAAAGATAATGCTTGAAAATTATTCCCAGCAGGAGACAAAAGATGGACAGAACAGAAGAAAAGAGACAGAACGTAATTGCTGTAATTTAATATTTATAAAACTCTCAAAATAGGGCCTGGTACATAGTAATTAGATATAAGTATATGCTTTTAAGATCCTATTTGAAAGAATGATGTTCAAAATAAGGATATTTTCAAGCAAACAAAAACAGTATTTCCCACAAGATTCAGGGGGAGACTGCAACATTTTTCTCATCAACTGAGAGAACATTCAAATTAAAATAAATTCAGTCTTTAGAATGGAGCTAGCTGCCCATGTGGCTATTAAAAAATTCAAGTAAATTAAAAGTAAATAAAATGAGAGGTTTGTACACCTCTGTTAGGCATGTCACAGGTCAACCACTCAGCAGCACCACAGTGGATGCTATAGAAAATGCATCTACAGCCACAGAGCTATTCTGAAGAGTTCTGTTGAAAAGGAAAAAAACAAAACATGACAAGACGAACAACATATGACCCAGTGGAGTAGAGAGAACAAACACGAGGCAACTGGAGGTGATGCATTCCCATCAAACCAGTGTGGGACATTAACAAGCCTTTCTTTCTTTCTTTCTTTCTTCCTTTCTTTCTGTCTTTTCTTTTCAAGACAGGGTTTCTCTGTATTGATTTGGAGGCTGTCCCAGAACTCACCCTGTAGACCAGGCTGGCCCCGAACTCACAGACATCTTCCTGCCTCTGCCTCCCGAGTGCTGGGATTAAAAGCATACACCTCCAACACCCGGCACCCAACAAGCTTTTCATAACCAAAGCCATGAAAGGGAATCTTCACATATATACAAAACTGGACTTACATAAACTGAAAATATACAGAACATATTCTCTCAACCAAATGAACCTAATACATCAAAAAGTAATTTTCAAATCTCTTTCATTCTTGAGTTCAATGTGGTAGCTAACACTCGTAACCCCAGCACTAGGCAGACTGAGACAGGGGGATTACTATAAATTTGAGATCAGCCAGGTCTACACACATTGAGTTCTAGGTCAGCTTGGTACATGATAATTACATATAAGTACACTGTAAACAGAATGAAGTCCAGTCTCAAAACAGCAACAAGAAAAATGTCTACTTTTGAAATTTAAAAACACATCTAGGGGCTGAAGAAATGGCTCAGTGGATAAGAGTAGTTGCTGTGTAGGCCTAAAAGCCTGAGTTCAGATCCTAGAATACATGTAAAAAGTCAAGTATAACATTGTGTATCTGTAACCCAGCACTGGGGTTGGGGGTAGGGCAGAAAAGGACCGCTGCAGTACCAGCTAGCCACCAGCCTAGCTCAAGTTCAGTGGGAATAAGGTAGACTGTGATAAAGCAGGACACTTGGCATCCTCCTCTGGCCTAGACACATACACACACACACACACACACACACACACACACACGGAAGGAGGGAGGGAGGGGGAGAGAGACAGAGAGAGACAGTGAGAGAGAGAGAGAGAGAGAGAGAGAGAGAGAGAGAGAGAGAGAGAAGAAAAACCATGTTTAAACAACTATGAGTCAAAAACAAAATGTATAGGGGCTGGAAAGATGGCTCAGAGGTTAAGAACACTGGTTGCTCTTCGGGAGGTCCTGAGTTCAATTCCCAGCAACTACATGGTGGTTTACAACCAACTGTAATGAGATCTGGTGCCCTCTTCTGGCCTGCAGCATACATGAAGGCAGAGTGCCATATACATAATAAAAAAAAATCTTTTAAAAAAATGTACAGTTGCAAAACACAAGAAATACTTAATGCCAGGAACTGTGCATTTTAAGGTTAAAATGGTAAACTTTGTG